TGCTCATCGGGAAGTTAGTTTAAAAAAGCAATTACTAAATTCGACCTGAACAGACATACACGAAAGCGAGTAATAAAAACTTGGTAAAGAAAAATACACCTTACACCCACTTTATTTTTATACATAATGAGGGTCACAGATTGATAAGCGAGTACACAGCACACCTTATGTTAAGTGGATGCTGTGACCCATAGTCATCTGCTTCTATCCTCGATTAAGAATCAAAATGCAGATGCGAATCTCATAAATATCAGATGGACTTTTTCATGTGTCACCCCCATTAATTGTATGAAAATCTAGTTTCCATGTAAAAATTAAAATTAAAAAAAAAAAGTACAATACCCTTTATTGTACACTGAGAAAACAAATAACGTAACAGGAAACAAACATTTAGAGAGAAATAAAAGGCGGTCTTATATTGCTGTTCAGCAATGTCTTCCAGACAACCGACGACGTAACAGTGTTAGAGGAATATCACAATTCTAGCTAACACCGATAGCGGTAGATCGTTAATTTAAATCAGAAATAATATACTCGTACATAACCTACACGAGCTTTGTACAAGGAAAACCACAGCGTGTGGAGATACCAACACCGATTCTGTTCTCTGGGTGTTTCAAATCTTGATTAATTAACATATGAAGGAAACACCTACCAGAAAAATGTAGCGGTGGCAAGGTAGCCGCTTTCAAAACCAGAGCTAAAAACATATGGATGACGACCATCGTGATGAATAAAAAGTATAAGGTTTTATTCCTTCTTTACTTTATCTGCTCGTAAAATACCACTGTTCTGTGCCGTAGTAGGGAGGAATCTTAGCAGGAGGATTGACCATTGCAGTGGCAGACGTTTCGTACGTTTTACGCAGCTGTTCGTCATCACTCATCAGTCTGAGTATTTTGCGTCTCTGACGTAAACGATATCATAATAGCGCCATCTATCGGAAGCCTTAAGGTTTTTTTCTGATATTTTTCGTAGTAGCCCTTACAACACCTACGGGACAAAGTGGGCTGATGGTACGTCTTACTCCACCACCAAACTACGTCTAGGCTTGGGTTACCGTTAAAGCCTATCAAGAGTCCACTGAAAATAGGCCTCAACCGCAGTTTTTATTTCTTCGTTGTTATTAGGAAGACGCTGCTGCCCATCGTCTAGTTTTCATCTCTCTGTCGCCTCTTACGACACCCCCGTGACAATATCGGGTAGTGGTTATTCTTACATCACTCACTCACTACACGAAAGGAAACTTGGGTAACTCATAAATAAGTATTCAGAATCTGGCAAGATGTGAACTGTGAATTGGATTTAGAAAAATCCTTCCTACCTACAATGTGAGACGCTCATGACTAGCAGTGGAATGCTAAGGACTGGAAAAAAAGGAGATGAACTGTGTATCTACCTAAGATGATGACGACCGATAAAATGAAAAAGGGAAATTTACGGCGTTTTATGGAGTATCATCTTTGGCCAGAGAAACAGAAGAGAGTAGTGTGTTTTGGACCTCATCTTGAAAAAGTAGGATATTTAAAAAAGTATTTTGATGTTCATTTTTTAAATAACGAAATTTCAATAATTGTAACGATGATGACAGATTCGTAAAGTAAAATGGCTCATTATAAAAATATCTTATAATAAATGATAACACTGAATTTACTAAGAGTAATAGTATATATGCCCAATAGGTAGGTACCTACTTACCATACAATAAAGGTTCATGAAACCTTTACAGAATTGTATAAAATAGACGATAGTACAAGGAAACCATAATAATATTTTAAATGAGGTCTAAATTATCATAATGCGGTGATTGCGGTGTTTACAGCAACTACTCATTCATCGTTGAAAGGACACTGTCTACTGTCTATCAAATGTAGATAGTCAATTGTAATAATAATCGATTCGTCTACATTTATTTATTTATTTAAATTATTATGCACAAAAGAAAAATCGAACATATGACGGACTTAATGCCTTTAGGTTTACATCGAGGTCACTCGCGTCACATTTGTCGCAATATGGGATTCCTCTAATGGAATTACGTAATCGATAACTTAACCGGCTTTTGGATGGGGTTTCCTAAGTTGTTGTACAGTTTTTGAATAATGCCCAAATCAAATTTATTTTATTCTAAATAGTAATTTCTTAACGTAAATATAAAATTAAAAAAAATATTTAAAAAAAATATTACTAATTCAGGAGCAATTCGATAATGAAAATTTGAATAACTCGTAAAGTATAAACTAACGTCATCTATCGAAGTTCATAAGAACGGATGTATATCGCCATCTAGTCGTCATCTCGATATAGTGTAGTACTACCCTCGCGATAGTATGGCGACATCTATATTAAAGTAATAACACTAGAATAAGTTTATAGAAATATTAAATAGATGGCGCTATTAAACGTAGGAGTAGTATAGTGCTCTGTGGTCATCTGCTTCATAAAATATGTTATTTAGTTTTTAGCCTTGATTTTATCGAAATACTTAATAGATGGCGCTACCAAAGGTAGCAACGCCATCTGCCTCATAAAACATGTTTTAAATTTTTTTGTTTTGATTTTTTCGAAGTATTTAATAGATGGCGCTAATAAAGGTAACGACGCTATCTGACTCATAAAACATGTTTTTAGTTTTTTGTCTAGATGGCGTAACGCGCTATAACTTTAATAAAATGAATAAATCTGAAACTTATGCAAATAAAATAATGAAATAAATCTTTGCACATTTCGTAGCTGAGATTCATATAATTAAAATTATTATGTACGACTTCGAATTATTACTTCTTTATATTTTTTTTAAATCTACCATCTACCATCTTACCTACATAACGTTAAAGATTTTTTATATTTTACACTGGATTGCGATTACAAAAAAATATACCTATCCCGAGAGGGAAAGAATAGAAACAGAAAGCCTTTCGCCTAAGCTCGGGCTGTCCCTGTGCGTAACCAAGAGTGGATGCCCCTATTACCAGCCTGCTGTTTCCTGCTATTTTAATTAGGGCACAATATTTTTAAACATTTGTTTTAATCGATAGGATATTTATGGACAAATGTATTGAACATTTATTTACCATCATATTATTTCAAGAACAATTTTAAAACCGACGATAAACAAAAACAGGCGTTATGGCTCAAATTCCAGCCACCCTGAACCAAATGTCTTCCTTTTGTGTACCTAATGTCAGCATAGCATAGGGTTATGCCTTTTGAGTAGGTATCTATTGTAGATAAGTTTTAGAGGCACAGTAATAAATTCCTAACAACTTTTAATTTTGAATCTGCATGTCACAAGCATGGAATATGTATTAAGGCAGACGACAACATTATTTTATTTTAATGTTTTACTACTTAACTTACTGTATTTTAGTTTAAAGCAGTTCAATAAATTGAAACAAATTATGATAAAATATTATGTAGGTAGTACATCGATTTCTAATAATTTAATCATCCAAGTTTTCAAATCATCATCGTCATTACAACCTTACACAAGTCTACTACTGAACATCCTCCTCCATGGTAATATATTAATAACAATAATTTTTAGGTGACTATATTTGTAGTTAAGACCACTAGAAATCTTATTTACGAAGTAAAGAGGCAAAAAGGCTGGAATTAGAGGCATGGCTGGTATAAGGGGGGTCCACCTACTATGATACTCATTGCTAGAGCAGAAAAAGCAAACTAAAAAGTGGTAAAGTTAAAACTTTTGTACAACCGACATCAACATAAATAAAATGAGAAAGTCATCAATGTAGTCGAAGTCAAGTAAATACGCATTATTAAGGATAACTCAATAACTACTGGTCAGATCTTGATCAAATTTATATTGAACCACATGAGAAGCACCAACTTTCAATTAAAAAAGGATCATCGAAATCGGGAAAAAGTTTTGAGGCAATACATATAAAAAAAATACATTCGAATTGAGAACCTTTTTTTTTTAATTGGATTGAAAACAGGTGAATATTAAGCCACCGGCAAATCGTAGTGATAACATCAAAATCGATTCAAATTCGCATTTAACGTTATTAAGAGAAACTTTATGATGTTAAACGCTAAAAAATCTTGCAGCTTCCAAGAAAATACTGGGGAAATACTCTTTCCGTATATAGCAGATGTAAGCTAGACAGAAATGCGATAGTGTAGCGTTTTTTTTTTTTTTATAAAACTGCAGTGGAAAACTTCGGTTCAACTGATGGTAACTGGCTAATGCGGACTGCATTAGCCAGTTATGCAGTCCATGGACACCTGCAGCCCACTTCAAGTAAAGAAGACTACAGTCGCACTGTTACTTACGAGGATAAGGATGTAGTACCTAGCATGGTTCTCTATACCATTCAAATTGGAACATTGGCGGAAGAATTAAGTAAGAGGATGCTAATACCTACCCCGACGGACTTCCGATCCATACAAGGAGTCCCACTACCATAGATAATCCAATTCACTTCACCCGCGGAACGTAACAACTATAGGCAAGCCCTCTTCTTGTTTATAAGGCTGACGTCCATTAGTAACCAGAACAGGATGTTGTTGATAAAGCATAGAAAAAAAAACTATAAAGCCTTCTTTGACTTAATATCTTTCTTTTCTTTTTTTGTTATTTTTTTTAAATTACCCCCACACTAGAATTTTCTCCTGTATCGTTGAGGCAGATTTTATTTATTTTTTATAGGAGAGGGCTCAAACGAGAATGCGGCTCACCTGATGGTAAGTTGGTAAGTGACTACCGCCGTCCATAAACAACTGCAACACCAGGGGAATTGCAGATGCGTTGCCGGCCTTTTAAAAAGGAGTAGGCTCATTTCTTACAAACAGAAATTACACAAGGATAAACATTCCGACCTGGAGCAATTATTTTAAGGCTACGCAAGTACTTGTTTCGTGCGGGATTCGAACCCGCGACCCTTAGCGCCGTAACTCAATGCTAAGCCCCTAAGCCATGGATCATCGTCATATCATATTTAAACTAATTAGAAAAAGTATAAATTAGTGCTCACCAGTATCGTTGAGCAGCCCGTTGATATCTGTCGTCGACCCATCGGCCGACATTGCTGTAACAATAGAAATTAAATAGGTGTTAGAAAGAAAACAAACACCACGTTGTCATAGGTCTAATAGAATAATATAAATTACATTACGAAAGCGTCAGTACGTCCTTATCCAGCTAATGACCTTTTACATTCACTTCCCATATGAGACGTTTATATTCAAAATTGGATCAAAATTGAAAATTATTTCACTTTTGTACAAAAGTCATGTCATATGTTATGTAACTAAGTAGTTAGTTTTAAATCAGTTTTTGACGTTCTCAAATACACGTATTCTGCTAACGTGTTTGAACTAATCATACATTATTCTGTTGCTAAGTATTTAAGTTGACTTCATAATATAACTTGTAATAAATACAGAGTTTCTCTACGTGATAGAATCCGTCCGAAGATATCCACAGTAGAGCCAGGGTAATCGAAATAGCACGAAGGATTAATATGCTGAAGAAGCCGTGGGCAAGCTTCTATATGGCTCCAATAACCGACATCTGATGGTAAAGAAAGTTTTGCGAGTGCCAGCATCGTACAAGAGGCCCCCACTAGATGAGAGATATTTGTGGCTCAGGACCGTGTTTTGCGACATTCTTTGATTGAGGCCTTTTTTCGGTACTGGACTTGTGGGGGTGTAGTGGGTATTATTTCTTAGACAAACATATCTATCAAACTCGTAGCTCTCTTTAAAATATCTACAAGTACAGAGTAGAGCAAAACCAGACCTCCAGCCAGTATACCTTAAAAAATGCAATCACATTATAAAACACCGTACTGTAATGATAAAATAGGGCCATTCATGTTTATTTAATGGTTATGTAATTGTGAATTTCTGTCATAACTGAGGCTTGAGGCCGTGGCTAGCGGAGCGTGGCGAGTTTGAAGCATGGCCATCTAATGGAGGTTCTGTGGTAAAAAATGTTATTAAAATGTCTCGCGCTGATGCTCGATGACATTTTATGATTAAAGTGTAATATAATTTTAACTGCCCTGGTGGTCGTAAGCGTGACTACTGATCTGGCTACTGATGGGGTCTGGGTTCGAGTCCTGGTTCAGACCAAAAGCAGCTACTGGGTTTTTCTATCGAGCAATTCCAAGTAGCAGCTCGTAGTCAGGGAGTTGGAGATAATTCAGGCCCGTGCCTCAGAAAGCATATAAAACAGTTGGTCCTGTCGGATCTCTCACCGGTGGTGTCGGATTGAGGTCCTATCGAATTACGGGAGTGAGAGAATAGATAGTGCACCTGCACTTGCGTACACACTGGTGCAGTGTAATCTTGTCCTGCGTAGATAGTAAGTATTCGTTGAGACTGGCCTCTGCAGCCGAAATTCGGTATATTATGGTTGCATCACGAATGGGTCGGCGTGAACGGGGAAGGACCACGCCCTCACAGAATACACTGCTCTACAGATTAATGCTGCTGTGTTTCTTACTGGAAACAAGGCATTCCATCTTAGTCCTCAGGTCTGGCAACGCATCTGCATTTTGATATGTTGATATTTATGGGCCACAGCATCCACTTACCACCAGGTGGACTGTGTGCTCGTTTCTCAACCTTATTTTATAAAAAAAAATCATAAGAAACCAAGACCCGCGGTTTGATATTCTTGTACTCCGACCATTAAGTCACGTGATCCTTATTAATCCTCGCATACTGTCGATATTATCCAGCTGTGGAATTAGTTTTAGGCCCCTGAGGCCTGGGCTTAAGAGTGGCAGAATTTGAGATTTGACTATACTCCAAAAAATAACAATTTTTAAAATTTAAATTTACTTTTTATGATATCAAGATATTTCAGACGAAGTGCTTCAAGTAATAAAATTTATATAAATAATGAAGTCGCCATGTCTTTTTTGTTATGTTATTTTTTTCGACAAGAGTTAAAACTTACGAACACTATAAGATGTTGCCAACGTTGAAAAATAAAATTGACGAATACTAAGAACGTAGCACTGTTATGTATGCACTTACTCGGAGTGTGCCGCAATGGGATTGTTCATTCTCATGTTAAATGAATACTGTATGAGTATGTAGTTACTTGTTACTTGATAAGATTTGTAAGATCATTTCTACAGAAATTGTATGAATTACTATCCTTATTTAGACAAACAAATGTTATTTTTATAAATTAAAAAAAAACCAGACAAGTGCGAGTACAATTCACGTCCTAAGTGTTCCGTATTATAATTACCTAATTTTGTAAATATATCTAAATAGTTCAATTTCTATAATTATATTATATAAGTTAAGGACCGAACATTGCTGTAACGAAAAGGTAAGTTTGATTGAAAGATAAACTTAACTTTGCAGTTGAAAAAAGTAAATGCTCCCTACAACCATGGCCAGCAACTGCTGTTCAACTGAATTTGTCGGTCTGAAGAAGTAGAAGAATGTGTCATTAATGGCCGAATACTCCAACGCTACTAAATTTTAAGATGTCATTAAGTCTTGTGGTGTCACTGTCACTTTGATTTAAAGTGATAAAGACAGCATGAGACTTTAACGGCCTCTTAAAATTGAGTAGCATTTGAGTATTTGGGCAAAAGCGTTTTTAAATCAGGTGAATACACACTATACCATAATAAAGATCATTACCTCGTCCTATATAAAAGTACACTGCTGAACATAGGCCTAACCCAGAAATTGCCTTATAGATTATACCATAGGTTCCACGCTCGGCAAGCTGGTTAATAAACGAAGTTTTATTAAATTCATTAGTTTTTTCGTAAGATACTGTTGCTCATTTCCTGTTTTAGTTCCCTTTGTCACTACTTACGACTCCCACAAAATGATATGGGGTACTGGATATTCTTACATCGCTACTATACAGCAAGGTCTTATCCTATACAAGCGGCCGTGATCAGTTAAAAGTAAGTCGTTTTTGTTCCCGTCGACGAAACAAACAAATATGTGAGTCACAAGGATAATAATAAAAGGACTACCTTTTTATGATGCCCCGGAAATGTCGGTAAGGTTGAGTGGAGGAAAATTGAACGCGCCAAATAAAGATCTATTTCAAAGGGCCAAGGTGAGTCGAGGAAAATTGTTAAGTACACTAAGCTTAGAATACAATAACGATGACCACGTGATGTTTTTTATATGAGTAAGTGTGACAAATGCGCACACAGTCCACCTGATGGTAAGTGGAGGCTGTGTACCATATACACTTACATCTATCCTCGATTAAGAATCGAAATACAGATGCGTTGTCGCCGCTGAGGACTAAGATGGATTGCCGCGTTACCATTAGAAAGGGTTGCTGGTTCTTTAAACTCACATAAATCGAAACAAAGCAGTATTTTGCTGCTATTTTACGTAACAAAAACCTATTCCCTCTTGCCTTGAAAACGGCTAGATTATAATCGGACGGAAAGACGTCGGCAAGTTATTCCACTCCTTTGCTTTGCTGTACACATCAGATACCCTTTTGGGTCAAATGCTTGGAATATTGACAATGTAGGGGTAAAGACCCGGCGACCGCCTGATCGTCCGATGGAGGTAAGCTGGAAAATTAAGGCATGTAATTCGTGTAAGTCAAGGCACGAAACTAACAATATTATATTCATTAAAGTATGTTTATGTAAGTACAGTATATACAAGTAGATAGGTAATCACATTCACTTTTCCGCATCCGATTTAACGCCTTTGTTATATGTAAGGGTCAGATATATAGTGTCAGAGTGGCAAGGACACGTACACAATACCTTTGCATTCGTGCCGGAAGATCAATATTTTATTTTGTTTTTATTTTGTATAAAACTAATTTCTGAACATATCGCGTTTTTTAAGGTTCCGTACATCGTAAGAAAAAACGGAACCCCAATCTTAGGATCAATTTTTCTTAGTCCGTCTGTCTGTCCATCTTTCCGTCTGTAAAGAGTTTTTTTTCTTAGGAACAGGTATTAAGTTGAAATTAATATTAAATACTTAGGACCTTTAGTCCCTTCGTGTAAAAATTTCAAGGTTCTACTTCAATGCAAAGAAAAGGTACCGCCATATATGTCAAATATTTTGATACTCGCCAACTCACTTATCAAAACCTATAAGGTACTTCAAATTGACCTAGAATCATGAAATTTTACTAAAAAAACATGGTTTCACAGTATAAGTAAAAGAAAATATTCGAAAATCTTTATTTATTTACATAGAAAAATATTTTTTACAAACTTACATATGTACCACTTCAAAATTAACTTTTTCTCCGACTTACCTTTTCATTACTTCACTGTTTGGTGCTTACCTTACATATTTTTTATGAATTAAAGTAAAATAATTATTTCGATGTAAGTAGATGTCTATATTTAGATGTCTAACCTTTAGTAAGCGAGTTCTACTCGCATTTGTCCGATTTTTGTCACTTATTTTTAATTACCGCACGGAAATTGAATAAATCTAATTTGCAGTATTAGCGTATGCAGTATAATCGATGTTTACGTTTATACTAATATTGGTTCGATTAGGGCTTTAACCATGGAACCGTTACTATGAGAAAGAAGTTGCCGTTTCGCAATACAGTTTAAAATTTGCAAAATTGTAACAGTGGTAGAGCCACGCGGCAGCTTTTGCTGTCGCACGGATGGGCCGGCTCGAACCGGGGTGGTACCACGACCTCACAGAAAACCAGCGTGAAGTAGAGCTTTACCTCTGCGTTTAGCTTGGTGAGTGCAGGTGGCCGGAGGCCCTTTTTACTGGAAATGAGGCATTCCATCTTAGTCTTCACGGGTGACATCGCATCTACATTTTGATTTGTAACTGTAGATGTCTATGGGCCGCAGCAACCACTTACCATCAGGTGGACTGTGTGCTCGTTTGTCACCCTTATCCTATATAAAAAAAATGAATAAGATCTGTTTTATCTAGTGTTTTTATGTTTCGTTCTTTCAAACAGAAACCTTATGTCAGGTTATTTCAATGAACAAAATCCCTACATAATTTACTTAATTTTTTTTATAGGATAGGTTGACAAACGAGCACACAGTCCACCTGATGGTAAGTGGTTGCTGTGGCCCAT